ACACTAGTGTTGATACCCGTGTGATGCACGGGGTACATTATAATTTTTTTTGATTTAAATATTATAAAATTATTTAAGACTGTGAAATTATATTCTCCAAAATATTCCTTCCAGTAATAATATGACATTTATTTATTTAATATTATTGTTATTATACATGTATATTGTATATTTTGACTATTTAATATATAAAATTTATTATTCATAAGGGTATAAAATATTTTTAATGTATAAGATTATATGATATTTGCATACAAATTAATTGTATGTACATATAAAATTGTCGTTTATCATAGTCTTATAAGTTTTTCAACTATTCATAATTTGCACATTGCGTCATAATTTTAACCCATAATATTTATCTTTTGCTACAATTATGAAGTGCATTAAATGTTAAAAGCTTTGATAGATAAATCTTTAATTTTTAGTAACTTTAATCCTTATGCAACACACAAATTTTTAATGGTTAAATATTTTATTTTCGTGTTTTCATTTGTTATTTATATTTATTTTCTTAATTCATTTTTTCAATCTATATAATGAGTTACACAGTATCTATTGGAATATTTAGATGTATTATGTATTTCCATAATTACCAAGTGCAATAATTTAAATTATTATATATTGCTATTTTATTATCTTTTTTTTTTCGTTTATAAAATAGTATATAAGAAAAACATATATTTTAAAAATTGAATAGTTTTCTAATGTACATAGATACTTTTAAGATAAAATTTATAATTCTGAATTGCACTCGACCATCAAATTTTATTTTTATTAGTATATTATTTAAAATTTTCAATAGTATATCACTGCATATGATATATTCAATGGGATGTACCTTTTTATAGTTAAATTGACTACATTTCAGAAAATTTTATTAATATTTTTAATTATTTATTAAGTTAGTATGATTTAAACATAGTTATTTTGATTATTTTATTAAATATTTTAGTTACTTCTGAATAGTGAGTATAATTAATTAAATTAATATCTACAACTATATATGAAATATATTTAATCAAATTAATTTCTTTAATAATGTTTTGAATTGTGTCAATAAGTTACTATTAAATTAATATAAGATCTTATTAAAAATATATCTAATAAATTTACGGTCAAAATTTAATTTAAGCCAAGTTGTAGTTAATGAGTAATAGTTATTCACTGAATAAAAATTAATTATGTTGCATTATATTTGCTAATAAATAAATATTAATTAAATGCCAAATATAGTCGAAAAACTTTCCCGCCTAAAATCATGTCAATTATGACAATAGGGATTCGTCCACTATATAGATATAAATATAGATATAGATATGGGGTGGGATTTTAATAGATAGAGAAAATGGAAAGACTAACATGATTATTACAGCTTTCGGATTTGCAAAAACTTTCAAAGCAGCATGTCCCATTGGTCTTTGAAAAAGAAATTCCGAATTCTTGGACTGTCCAATTTGACCAAGTCAAACGCCTGTTATGTTTAGTCTTGTAGTCTGTGTTGTGGATTTTAAGCTGTCTAGGGTGTAATTGTATATAAATTTAATAGTAAAAAATCTAATCAAAATTCAAATTTAACTCAATTTTAACTCTACCCCAATATCTTCAATATTAATAATATAATTAAATAGTATCAACCAATCATTCTTACACATCACATCAACTTTAATTCACTATTCATCCACTCACATAATTCTAACCAACTATCACTTTTAATCATTTTTCTCCTACTTTATATCAAATCAACTTTAATTATTTTATTTAAATATTATTTTAATATATCCACTAACAACTAACTACACCACATTTTTTCAAAATTAACTATAGTTATAAATAAACCAAATAAAAACTAGTTTTTTTAACTATTGAAACTATAAACAATCACCACCCTAGTGTAGTCCTTCTATTCTAGCTATTAGTCGGCTTTAATTATGTGTTTTAGTTTAATGAATCTATCGTTTCGAAATCAAAAAAAAAAAAAAAAACGCATGTTATGTGGCCTGTTGCCGTCTTATTTGCAAGCTGTAGCCGAACGGCACCGACTACTCATTTTTCTGCACGTATCAGCAAGAGACAAAACTAACTTTTGAATCAGGCAAATACGAACGATATCGCTGAAATTTTAGACTCGTATATGTCGTATTCACACCAAATATATTTTTGGTCCACTCAATGTCAATAATTGTCCTATTAACACAAATTTGGTTCAAATGTGGACTTTTAATTAATGTAGGTTGAGTAACAATCAAGGTGACATCTGAATTAATTAATACGCACATAATAAAGGGGAGATTATACGATAGTTTCGTTACGGAATTATTTCGTGGGGATTTCTCTACACAAATTAACATATGCGAAAGCAATTACACGTTTTTAGACAATGTTAAGATAATAAAAATATATAAAAGCTGTTCATATTATACATTTTGTAACTACTCCTTTAGTGGCTCTGTTTGGAAACCCAGCTGATCTTATTAGATATTTAACATAGGGTATATCATATATGATTAGTTGGTAAAAAGAATAACAACAATATTGAAGGAATTTAATTTTAATATATTCTGATTAAGTTTGATTCAATATGCACCAAAAATGAAGATTGAAAAAAATAAAAAATTACAAAAAAATAAAAAAATATTGTCAAAATCAAAAAAGTTATTCGACGAAATTGATAAAAAAAAAATAAAAATAAAAACTCCTTTACCAAATTGTACCCCATAAAATTTAATGAAAAAAAGGATAGAAAACAACCAAAACTAATGTACGAAAATTGCAATTTTTTTCCAAAGGAATTTGTTTACAAGTGTTCTGTAGGGGAACTACTACAGTCCCGTTGACGGAATGATTCCGTCAATGTTGGTTACCGTACATTATCCACACAAGATAATCTATTTGTGTATCCAATGATAAAAAATACTGACGGTACCATCCGGTAACGGGACCTTAGAATTTTTCGTCCTCTCTAGATACAAAAGTGATATTGTTGACCAATCACATAAATTCAACTTACATGAAGTAGACCAATCACAAGCCATATACTTCTTGATTCTCATCTTTGTTTTGCCTTTAAACAGTTGAAGAATATCTCCACCTGAATATATATATCTTATATTTTTAGAGTCATCAATGGCTAAAACTGCAAAGGACACACTCGAGAGTGACATGGGCTGTTGCTTCATGGCTTCATTCTTCCAACTCAAACCGAAAAACTGTGTCCATCTTCAGGACAGCCCAGACAAGAAGAAGCAACTCATAATTACAACCTCAAAACCAGCTAATAAACACCAAGAAATCCCAAGGCTGCTGCCTTCGAACAACAAGAAACGGGAAAATGCCGTGCTTTCGGGCCAGTTGGGCAATGTGATCAGGCGGCGGCAGGGGCAATTCTGTAAAAATAACCAAAATGTCGTTACTAAGACGCTGAGCGGTACACACATAATGCTCGGCCCGAAAGACCAGTTGAGAGCCGATGCTCTGAAGTCGTTAGGGAACGTCAAATACAAGCAGGGGAAGTATGAAGAGGCAATAGCATTGTACGACCGAGCAATTTCCATTGATCCAAACAGGGCTTGTTACTATGGAAATAAGAGTGCGGCCTTAATTGGATTGGCCCGTCTCGTGGAGGCTGTTTTTCAGGGCTTAGAGGCGGTTAGAATAGATTCTACGTATCATAATGTGCACTATCGGCTCGCAAAACTTTATTTAAGGTGACGAGAAACTTCAAAATAAAAATTCTAGTCATTGAGAGTTCGAGTTCTAAGGTTTTTTCTTAATGAATAATTATGTTATGCAGATTGGGAGTAGCTGAGGAAGCGATTAGTCATTATAAGTGCTCGGGACTAAGGGCAAGTCCAGAAGATATTGCTCGAGCTGTAAATCTTAGGAGTTGTCTAGTGAGGTGTATTGAAGGTAAGAATAATGGACACTGGAAAGCACTTCTTGGTGAGAGCCAACTTGCGTTATGTCTCGGAGCAGACTCAGCTCCGCAGGTTAGATAAACGAAAAATCGCAACTTCAAAAGAATTGGTCTTCTTTTAAGTTATTTTTTAAAAAAGAAAATCTGTTTTTACCTTCAGATTTACGCGATGAAAGCAGAAGCTCTAATGGAACTCCACAGACACGAAGAAGCATTTTATGCCACGCAAAATGCACCACATTTTTGCATCAAACACTATACCAAATTCTTAGGCTCGGCCGCAACAGCAGGCATATTACGAGTTCGTGCGCTGGTTTACGCAGCCAACGGCAGGTCTGTATGAACAGAAAAATGCCAATATTATATCTTTTCATTCAAGACAATGACGCTTTTGTTTATGACTTGAACTAATTTTGTATTTAATTAGGTTCGAGGATGCAGTGAAAGATATTGGGCATGCATTACGGCTCGATTCAACAGACAGCATGAGGTTGACCGTACAAAAAGTCAAATTTGTGGGGTTAGCTCGACTGAACGGCAACCGGCTATTCAACGAGTCCAAGTTTATGGAGGCTTTAACTGAATATAGTAAAGGACTTGAGATAGATAGTTACAACTCTGTTCTACTATGCAATCGAGCTGCATGCCGGTTTAAACTAAAACAATATGAAAAGGCAGTGGAGGATTGTACACAAGCTATTGCCGTTCGGCCTTCTTACTCGAAGGCCCGATTACGGAGGGCCAACTGCCATGCTCAGGTTAGTTTTTCTTCCAAAATCAGGGTTAATATCATGTTATGCTTCTTTGTCATTTTACGTCTAATCACTCGAAAGAAAGTTCTGCTTTTCAAGAATCTGTCATTTGATTTCTAGTTGGAAAAATGGGAGGCTGCAATCGAAGACTATGAGATACTAACGCGAGAAAGCCCGGGAGATCGAGATGTGAGGGCTTCCATAATAGAAGCTAAGATAGAGCTCAGAAAAATGCAAAATGGGTGTAATATAGAGATGGTTCACAAGTTGAGGAATATGCAGAAATGGTTCACAAGTTGAGGAAATCAAAGACAGGTTTGACGGCTTAGAAAGCTGTATAAAATTGTACTGCACTTAATCAGCTGTAAGGGTAAAGGAGATCAAATAATTGAAGTCAAGAATCATATATATTGTTTAAAACAAACATGCATAAATCTATGATTGGCTTCCAAGGGCAAGTGCATTTCTTTGTTGCTAGAGAATTATTATTATTATTATTATTTTTTTTTTATTAATATCATTACTATTATTTGAGCGAAACAAATATTTACAAGAAATTAGTGGGCAGCCGAGATACAATCTGGGCTCCCACTCCTTTGGCTATAGCAAAGCCTATATTATTATTATTATTATTATTATTATTATTATTATTATTATTCAGGATAAGTAGTGCTTTATTTCATACTAGTAATATACATGTGGGCTGCACGGTGACTTTATTATTTTCGTACTTTTTGAAAGGTAATTTTTATTCAAGATGTATAATAAATGAATGATCATGATATTAATAAATATAAAAAAAATGGAATCGAAAAATTGGTGAACACTTTCTTATACATAACATTCTTGCATTGAATTTCGGCACGTCGTCATCGCCACAAACTAAGATTTTTAAACCATTTTGGTAAGTGACACAAGACAACAACATACAACTGGCCCCCATGACTGAACACTTGTTGCTTAAGAAATAGGCCAATATGTGATTCAAAAGTTTGTTTTGTGGGATGTATTATTTGTTCTCGATTTTTTGTTTCAATGTTAGTGACGTTGATATAGTGATTGTGTATGTGTCATCTACCTATAAAGTCAAATCAAGAAAAAAATATCAAAAAATTTTTTGAAAAGAGAATTTTTGGATAATTAGTAATCTAATCAAGGTTTGACTTAAATTGATGCTTTTTATGGTTTTATCAGTTTTTGCAGTAATATCAACCAATTTTGCAAGTAAAGCATCAAGAAATCAATATATTTTCTTGTTAAATTTGTCGAACTTTTTCAATATTCACCCGAAGGGGTGCATTGTCAATCCCACTCATTTTCAAAGCTTTTGGGACAAAACATTTTTTTTTTTTTTTTTTATCATATGCCAATTCCTAATTTTGTACCTATTTCTTGAACTTTATTTGGTTTGATAATTACTTTTAGGTGATTATCTTTTCTTTAATAAAAAAAAAAAAATAGATTCCTCTCTTCTCTATCATTGTTAGGAACTATGTAATCTATTCTTCGTCTAATAAAAGACTCACTCCTCTATATTTGAAAGATTTGTCTAGGAGCTTCAAGTTGTATTATAGGCAAAAATAATTGTCTAACTTATAATAATGAAGCATGTAATTTTGTCACATAGGATCCCGAAGTATGTGAGTCTGCCACTTAGACTCATCACATTTTGAATTAAAATATAGGGGATTAACTCTACAACATAGGGCTTAAGAGTGTAAGGATCTTTTTTCTATTTTATGGAATTTTAAAATATTTTTTTTATATAATTTTGTTGGTAAATCTATATATATATATATAAAGAATTACCATTTACTAAAAATAGTAGCAAAAATTTAGGAAACATTTAATGCATACTATATTTGAATTTTTTTTAAAAAAAATATATGCATTAATTGTTTTTATTTACACGTTTTCAAATAAGATTAAATAACATATGATTAAATAATTACTTAAATAAATTTATTAATATCATCAGTATTTTCATTGATATTTATTATAATAAATTACAAAATTGATTTTATTAATATTTTGGTCAAGATAAATATTATTTTAATAATATTTGTAATACTTTCATTGATATTCATTATAATAAATTACAAGATTGGTTTCTGTGATCCATGTTGGTAATATTTTGGTCAAGATAATATTACACCATATTTTAAGTTCTAACCATAATATTAGTTTTTTTTTTCACAAATATTCACTTTTTATCCAAAAATATTTATGGAAATCGTAACAGGTTAGGCAAAATCAAGTTGGTGAATTAATCTTTGCCAATATATTTGTTTCTTAAGCTTTATTTTGTTAAATATAAAAAATAAATCGTTCTTCAAATTAATATAATTTACTATTTAAAAGATAATGACCAAATACAATAAATAGTTTTACTAATGGTAAAAAATTAAAATTGAAACATATTAACTATTGTTTAGAATTTATTCGAATATTATTGGCACCCATGATTATATTTTTTTATTTTGATTTATTTTTGTAATTAAATTCTTGTAAAATATATTTTCATTGCTGAGTATGCTAAATAAACCATAAATCCTTATAATGCGAATTAGAAAGATCTTGATCATAGAGGGGATCGAGTTTTTGGCATTTTCTAAATCAAAGTTGTTTAATTAATATACAAAATTAAATTATAAAAAAACATGTGTATATTTTGTAAAATATTTATACCTATTTAATATTAAATTTATTTACATATTTTAAATTTATTACATAAATAAATAATACCAACATGCATTAAATATTTTTCATTACATAAAATAAAAATAAAAAGAAGACGTACAACTTCTATAACTTTATAAATAATAATGACATTATATGACATAAATTGTATAATAAAATAATGATTAAGTATTATATGGTGAACAAAAATAAGTAAAATTATTATTCTCTCTTGTATCAAGAATAAATATATATACTAAAATCAAATTTTAAATTAGGATAAATGTGTTAGTGAAATAATATATTACTTATTTTAATATTTTATTAAAAAAGTAACATTGATTAAAAGAGGTGCAAAATATATTATAACCTTATTGTTTATTATACTTAACACTGATTAAAAGAGATGAAAAAATAGATGATAATCATATTGCTTTATATACTTGAACGGACAAAGCATGTGAAAAATAACTCATTTAATATTTCTGTTCCGTGCATAGCACGGGGCATGTACTACCTAGTGCTTATTTAAACAAGTTGATACTGTGAAGAGGTTACTTCACTTCACAAATCATTTCCTCGACACTCGTCAGCCCTAACAGGAGAGAAAATACACTGATTTTTCCCTTCTTTCATTCGCAGATATTAAGATGATATCATACTCAATTCAGGTTTGATTCCTTCCTTTGTGTTTGTTTGTTTTGATTTCAATCATACTCCAACTTTGTATGTGTTTGTTTTATCGGTACTAAGATCCCTTCGATATTGATGTAATAGTGCTCTTGTCCTTGTCCCTGGTCCTGTAATCGAACTGAACGAGCCGAGTTTAGGCATTTTGAGATCGTGTTCGTTTATATTCAAACACTTTGTATTTGTTCGTTTATTTTTCGAGCAACGAATAATTTAGGAACCAAACCTTTTTAATATGACTTGATTAATTTGAAAACTGTTTGTTTAATCTCGAAAATAGAATAAAAAACGAGCTCCTGGTTGTTCGATTATTAAATGAGCCTAAATTTCTGTTCCAACTCGGCTCGGTCAACAAACGAACGAGCTTTTGTTCACAAACGTTCGGTTCGTTAACAGCCCTACTCGCTACTTGTGTCTCTGTGTTTTTCTACAGCTTTTATATGAGTTAGAAAATCCCTGTTTTTTCCTCTTTTTGGTAACATGCATCTGAATGTTGGTATTTCCTGAATTCATTATAGAGTTGTAGCAGAACATTTTTTTTTTTTTTTT